TTCACAAAATAGTTCCTAAGCCTTTCCTTTTATTTCTTCAAATATTTTGATTGAGAAAAATGTTTTCTTAGCATTTGATTTATTGAGCTTTTATAGCTGTACTTCATATTTGCCTTACATTTTGACGACTGTCCCTTTGATGACTTTATAAGCATTTCAAGAAGAAATAAAAGTAATAAAAACAATTTTAGCTAGGCGCGGTGGCTCACGCCTGTAATCCCAGCACTTTGGGAGGCCGAGGCGGGCGGATCACAAGGTCAGGAGATCGAGACCACGGTGAAACCCCGTCTCTACTAAAAATACAAAAAATTAGCCGGGCGCGGTGGCGGGCGCCTGTAGTCCCAGCTACTCAGGAGGCTGAGGCAGGAGAATGGCGTAAACCCAGGAGGCGGAGCTTGCAGTGAGCCGAGATCGCGCCACTGCACTCCAGCCTGGGCGACAGAGCGAGACTCCGTCTCAAAAAAAAAAAAAAAAAAAAAAAAAAAAAAAACAATTTTAATTGATGTTTAGAAAAATGTCTTTGAAAGTTAGGTGAATGGATTTATAAAAATAGTAAATCCTTTGGTGTTCTTCCATGCGGTGCTGGCAAAATTTGTAAGAGAAACTACATAGAATCATTTCACTGCAAATATATCTGTTATATCTCTGAGCAACAATGTGCTTTCTAATGAAACAATGAATATGTATAAGTTGTTCTACTCAAATAACCTAAGGACAAAAAAATACATATTTTAATCGCAACCTCAAATGTTGTAAAGCTTTTTTCTCCTTTTGCATTGAAGTCTGCCCCAATCACATCTTTTCAGGGGCTGTAAAGAAAATGCTGATTTCATCAAACACTCTCGGTGTGGTTCATGTGTTTTTTGGCTGATGCAAGGTGTTTTCATATGGCTTCCAATCAATATAAAAATACATTTAAAAATAAGAATAAATATTATCAAAGCCATTTGTTAATTAATTAATATATTTAATTAACATTAAGTTTTAATTATGGACACAGCAATAGGTATTGACCTGAACTGGGGTTCTCTAATCTTGAAGACCAATTTCAGTTATATTTTTATGTGATGATTAAGAAACTTGAGCAAACAATTCCTGGTACAGTAGGGAGTCACAAAACATTTGTGGAATTAACCATTAAGCTACGTTGTGATGATAAAATAACCTTTATTACGTACCTGTTCTGTGCTGGACACTGTGAAAGAATTTGATGTAATTTAATACTCACAACAACTCTGTAAGATAGATATTTCTCCAATTTGATATATGAAAAAAGAAGGCTCAGAGAATTTGGGTAACTGACCTAATGGACACATAGCTAGTAAATGACAAAATGACAATGCTGGGATTTAAACCAAGATCCAAAGGACTACAGTGACCATGACATGAGACCCCTTAATAATGTTACCTTTATACCAGGGTGTTCTGAACCTATGGTTATATCTCAAACTACATCTAGATATGGTCTAGCTGGCTGTAGATCATACTCTAAGCAGGAAGTGGCAGAGAACAAAATGTGATCACCAAAATGTGGCAGGCAGTGAGTGAAGGGTTAATTCACAGCAAGTTCAGCATCCCATGCAGACTAAGTTACCTATGTTAATGATCATAAAGTGATGAAACTGATTTTAATATACAGCTTACACAGTTGAACATGCAGAAAGTCATGTAGGCAAATAGTTTATAGAAATCACTCTTCTGTTGGATGTCTAAATTCAGTGGAATTTTTTTGGCGTATATTTCACTTTGGGATAGGGTACAATATTTTTGTCATATTTAAAATTTAGAACTTAACTTAAGCATATGAAGTGTATTTTTAATTCAAATTTCTTTATCCAATGAAGGAAACATGTATATAAAATGGCCCATACACAGAAAAAAAAAAAAAAGACAAAGAAGACGACGAAAAATGAGCTTAGAAGGTTTAGCAAATACATAGGTATCGTTACCTTGAGTCAGTGCTTCCACACCAGGATGATTACCATCTCTCCTCCCACCCATAATCAAACACACACACACACACACACACACACACACACGAGGCATTTGGGAATGCCAGGAGAAATTTTTGGTTGTCACAAATGAGGAGTGTGTCACTGGCATTTAATCCCTGGCATAGAGGCCAGGGCTTCCTCTAAACATCCCATAATGCACAGGACAGCCTATTCCCCTTCCCCAGTGCAGAATTACTGAATTTAGAATGTTAATCATGCCAAGGTTGAGAAATTGTGCCCTAAATAAGTTCTTGCCTATTTCAGGATACTTCTCTTTAGAGTTTTTTTTCCTTATGGACCATTGCTCTAACTTTTAGAAAGACTGTTGAAAGTTAGTACCTTATTAATAAATCGTGATATAACAACTTGTTTCAAACATTTTGATTGGTGTAAGGACAAAACCATTATTCTATTGCTTGGTCACTAAGGTAATGAGGTGGTTTTTGCTTTCTAATAGTGGCATTATGGTGACAAACCTTTATACTATACTCCTTACCATATTTGCTTGAAATCAGATTTTGAGGACAAGTCAAATAAAATTCAAATGAGGGAAAATTACAAGTTATTGATTGTCAAGAAAAAATTACCAAAAAAATCTTAAATGCTATCTCACGTTGAAATATAGACCCATTTATAGATTACATATGTTAAATTAAATAAGGAGGAGGCCATTGGCCTAAGGCTGGCCCCATACTTTGAGAATGAAGTATGAGATGGAAAAAACGAAGAGTGTGCAGGACATGAAATGAGACAGGCTGTTTCAATCTGCTGTCCATTAGTTATGTGAACTGTAGACAAGTTTTATGCATTTCCTGAACCCAATTTTCTCATCACAAGATGAGGTAATGGTAACTACCTCACAGCATTTACATAGATTAAGTTAAATAATACAAACGATTAATTTGAGAACTTCTGTGTCAGGCAGACATCCATCATTCACCATTGTATATTAGAGTCATTATTATCATCCTCATAAAGCCATATATCAGGATTAACCATGCTATCATGTCCTTGGAAAAATATACAGGAAATAATATGCTATTAGTTTTCTACTGTGGCTGTAACAATATATCACAAATTTGGTGGCTTAAAACAACACAAATTTGTTATCTTCCACTTCCGAAGCTTAGAAATCCTAAAATCAAAGTGCAAGCGAGCTGCCTTTCTTTCTAGAGGCTCTCACGGAGATTTTGTGTTTTTTGTTCAGTTTCTAGAGGCTGCCTGCATTCCTCAGTTTGTGGCCCTCTCTTGTCTTCAAAGCTAGCAAAAGTGGGCTGAGTTCTTCCCACATTTCATCACTCTGACTTCATTTCCACGATCACATTATTTTCTTGACTCTATTCTGCTTCTTTCTCTACTTTTAAGGTCCTTTGTGATTACGCTGGACTCACCTGGCTAATCCAGTGTCCATTTCAAAATTCTTCAACACATCTGCAAAGTCCCTTTTGACATGGAAGGTAATGTGTTCAAAGGTTCTGAGGATTTGAATGTGGACATCTTTGGAGGGTCCTGATTGTATGTAACATGTGTGTGTGTACACTAAAAAAAACCAGTAGCCTTCACTGTTAGTCTTATATATATAGAAATTATAAGCCTTACAAATTTGGTTATTTGAGAAACTGGTTGAGATTCTAAGATTTAAAGGAGGGGAGAATTCCTAGGATGAACACCAGTCAGGCAGTAAAGGACACAGGATACAGGAGATATTGAACTTTGATGCAGTCACAACAAAGGCCTTGCCAATATCATGGGGAGCTCTGGAGCTGGCATGGATTTTTGGACTTGTCCTACTCTAAGGCATAAAGCTTTAGCCCTGATACTCCTTTATCAACCAGTCATTAGACAAGGGGTGTGGCGCAAAGGGGTGTGGCTGTGGATGACACAATTCTAGCACAGGACCCCAGCTGAGAGCCCTTAGTGACCAACATTACCAACACCTGGAGAAATGAATATGTTTCATCCTGAAAAGAGGCAATGCATTATCCACAACATAAACTAAGCCAATTCAGTAGCAATAGCTTGTGCCAAATTTTATGCCATTATTCTTTATTGTAGGAAAATTCAGGGTAAAAATCTTTAGTAAAATATAGTCATCAAAAAGCAGAAGGACCTAGGAACCACGATTTGAATTCAGCCACATCATTTGTAGTTTTGTAGTTTTTCCTCTTTTCTTTTTCTAGTTGCAAAGTGGCACTTGAAATAAAATGATTTCTCTTACCACTGCTAATATGTTTAATTAGATAAAATTTTCAGTGATAGGTAGACACTTTGCCAATGCAATAATAACAGCAATAAATATCACTTTCAACACTGCAGTTACTCATCCGCATTGTGAAAATGTTATCTTCTTCCTTCTAGGATAGCAATTTAGATTAAAAAGGGAAATATTTTTAATGCTCCATTACCTTGGATTCCTTATTTAATTATACCAAATGTTCCCTTTCTCTAAAGAAGTATATGACAATTTTTGTCCTACATACAGTAGGCAGGGGGAATATTATCTGGACTTTCTTTGCCTAGCTATTATCTGTGTGAAAAATTTCAGGAAAGAGCAGGAAGAAAATAGAAATAAAAAGGGTTAGAAAATTGACATCCATCGTGACTCACAAAAAAAAAAAAGAAAGAAAGAAAGAAAAGAAAAAAATGACGTTAATAGTTTTATCATCTGGAAATCTGAGAAAAATTGGTTGGGGGCCTAGTTCTTCAGAAGTATAACTGTACCAGCAGTTCTGGAGCCCCTGGGGCAGTTCGGCTCTCCTCCATCTAGAGAAAGTAACCAGGTAGAAAATGCATTACGTAAACTATGTCAGGAAAATAAATTAGAGTTCTCATGTTTAACTTTTACAAAGAAGTTAAACATTCTTGACTTCTTAGGTAAGCAATGACTAACTGATGAAAAATCTTTTTGTGTGAGTGCTGAAGAGTTAAGAATCCCTTTTTTTCCTTCACTATTTGCAAAGAAAAGGAAATACACATATATATTGATTAAGTTATTTTTATTCTCTCATAGACAAGTATTGTGCTAAAAATCCCAGCGAGTCAACATTATGACAGACAAAGGCATATATATTTTTTATGGTAGTAGTATCAAAGTATTATGGACCGAATGGCTTAGACCCGCAGGTATGTGTGCCTCACAGTTTTAGTGGCTAGAAGTCTGAAATCAAGGTATCAACTGGGTGGGTTCCTTCCGAGGACTTTGAGAGAGAATCTGTTCCATACCTTGCTACTAGCTTCTGGGGACAGACAACAAACCTTGGTATATAGATGCATCTCTCGAATCTCTGTTTTCACATGGTGCAATCCCTGTGAATCTCTGTGCTTAAATTTCCCTCTTCTTATGAGGACACCGTCATATATATTAGGATGCATCCCAATGATCTTAACTTGATTGCATCTGCAAAGACTCTCTTTTAAAATAAAGTGAAATTCACAAGTACCAGGGGTTAGGGCTTCAATATATCTTTTTTTGGAAACACAACTCAGTCTACAACAAAAGGGAAGGCTTGACTAGAAGAGTTAAACATGCAGAGAAGACTAGAGATTTCAGGTCCAGTAAGGGAAAGAGAATGCTCTGGTTACAGCCTTGCTCCTAATATGTGGTTTGCAGAACAGAAGCATGGGTGTCACTGAGAAATTATTAAAAATTCAGCATCTCAGGCTTCATTTCAGTCCTATTGAAAATAAGAATATGATTTTAACAAAATGTCCTAATTATTCAAATGCACACATTTGAATTGAGAAGCATTGCCCTAAGGCCCACAATCTGGAATTTTTTACTAGACAGATAGGCTATCAACTTTTGCCAAGAGCACATCATTTATGTTTCTTCCTGTTTTATTTCTAGCTGTAAAATTATATTTGAAATTAAAATGGTGTCTCTTACCAGTGATAATAAGCCCAAGTGGGTAAAATATTTAATTATAGAGAGACATTTTACCAAAACAATAAGAATCAATATCACTTTCAACACTGCATAAACATAAAACCACGTATAATGACTCACATTATAAGTTTACTCCTCATTCACATAAAGTTCAAAGCAACTGTTCTTGATCTCAGAGTAATTTTTCTGTAAGTGATGATTCAGAGACTCAGAATCCTTCAATCTTGGGCTCTACATCTTTATAGTCTGGTTTCCACATTCACTCTTTTCATCTGCTATGAACCTGTAGACAGGGAAAAAGCAAAGATGGATGTGAGGTTGTTTTTATGGCTTGGAGTGGTGCACATCACCTCAACTTCCATTCCATTGACTAGAATCCTGTCACATGCCATGTCTTCCAGTGAGAGAAACCAGGAAATGTAAACTAGCTGTGTGCTTAGGAAAAAGAGGAAATGGGTCTGTTGTCCAACAAACCAACTCTACCTGAAGTGTCTATGTATGAGGCAGTAGCTTATCTCTGGCACCAATTTCTGAGATCTTATGCCACAAATTTTTAATCACTAATATATTAATTGCCCATTCTGTAAAGGAAGTGCATAACTACATTCAAATTTAATCTACTACAGACTTCAAATTGTTACAGGGTGTGAGAAATCATTAAAAGGAAGAAATTAAAAGATGAAAATAAACTTTAAAGCCTGACTTTTCATACATTCATTCTTCAATTTAACTAACATTTATTGGTTTTCTCCCTTGTGCCTAGCACTAAGAATAAAGTATAAATAGGACACGGTTTCTGAACTCAAAAACTCTTATAGTCCAAAAAAAAGTGACTCTCAACTTTGGTCTCACATTGGGATTTTCCTGGTAGTTAAATTTTTTATTTATTTATTTATTTATTTTATTTTAATGATCAGCTTCCACTCTAGTACGATTAAATCAGAACCTCACAGGGAGACAACAGGCATTGGTCTTTTTAAAAAGCTTCTCAAGTAAGTCTAATGTATCAACAAGGCTGAGAAACCCTGAGTTATTTGGATTCGCAGTCAATGGCCTTGCAGTTTTTACCTATGACCTATGTGAGGAAAGTCACAAAATCAAATTTCCCAGTTTTATTTAAAATTCATAATCATGAAACTTTGAGAGCATTGTTTTTTGTTGTTGTTGTTGTTGTTTTGTTTTTGTTTTTGTTTTTGACAGAGCCTTGCTCTGTCACCCAGGCTGGAGTGTAGTAGTGCGATCTTGGCTGCAACCTCTGCCTCCCGGGTTCAAGCAATTCTCCTGCCTCAGCCTTCCTCAAGAGCATTCTTTATGGTGTCCAGAAATCACAGTCCATTCTTTTAACCATACTCCTAAAAAACCTTTCTCACATCTTCTCCTCTTTCATTTCCTTCCTCACCTTATGTTGAGCTGGAAGACTTACTTTCTACTTCACTGAGAAAATATAAGCAATCAGAAGTAAACCTCTGCAGACACATACCACCACATTCAACCATCTACCAGCCTTTCTACCCATGTATTATGGTATAAAATATATAATTTTTCACAAAAAATCCTACTTTGAGTATTTCAAGAAGAAAATAATTCAATACAGGGATTTAAAAGGATGAGAAGAGTGAATTTTAGGGAAACTTCTGTTAGAATCACAGCAATCAGAGAGTAGAAGAAATACAGGAAACTTTCATGTAAGACCTCAGCATCCTGCAATGCTAAAGTGAGTAATTTGCAGGAAAATGCCCAAAGCTTATGACAAACCTTATATATGGGAAGCACTCATGCCTACCCACTATAGTCAGAGCTTTAATGGATGTTCTGTCTCTCTACTTCAAAATGTTACACAAATGTCACTCATTGGTAGAAGAATATTGTCAAGGAAGCTTGAGAAACATAATACTCAGCATTACATTTATGCAATATAGTACAAACCATAAGAAGGATTGGACATGCTGTTGGAATGCCAAAACACTCTCTACTACATCTATTTTTCTATTATTCAAGAATAGAGAGTCTATAGATGAACAATCTATTCTGCTATGTAATTCAATACCTCTCTTTCTCCAACTCAAGAAAAAAATCTTCACAAATTCTCTCACCTGTCTCCTATTTCAACAATCCTTTTACTCTCTACAGAATCACTCTGTGAGCATGTGAACATGATGGCTATTTCTTTTTTCTTTCTTTCTTTTTTTTTTTTTTTCCAGACGGAGTCTTGCTCTGTCAGCCAGGCTGTAGTGCAGTGGCGCGATCTCAGTTCACCGCAACCTCCACCTCCTGGGTTCAAGCAATTCTCCTGCCTCAGCCTCCTGAGTAGCTGGGATTACAGGTGCATACCACCATGCCCGGCTACATTTTTTTTTTTTTTTTGTATTTTTAGTAGAGACGGGGTTTTACTGTGTTTGCTAGGCTGGTTTAGAACTCCTGACCTCGTTATCTGCCTGCCTCAGCCTCCCAAATTGCTGGGATTATAGGCGTGAGCCACTGTGCCTGACCCATGATAGTTATTTCTGTTGCTCAAAACTCCTATACTTTTTCCTGAATTTTTGGTTTACTCTTCTATCCAATTATAAATTAGAATTTTTTGATTTACTCTTTTGCATTTTATGTTTTAAAACTCCGTTAACCAACTCAGACATAATTTGAATGGTTATGTCTTCTTAATAAACTAATATTTTTATTATTATGAAAAGTTTCTCTTTATCACTATTAATGTGCTTTATCTCGTATTCTACCTTGTCAGAAATCTATAGAGTCACATTTGCTTTCTCATGTTCATGTCTTGTATTAATATAATACAGCAGGTCTAACATCTCATTTTCAACCTGTCTTTCAAGTTAAAATATGTTTCATCAAAATGGCATAGAGACAAGTCTTTTTTTCCCAGTCACATTCTATGCCTTTTAATAGGAGTTAGAATGTCCATTAATTTACATTTAATGTAGTATTGCGATCCTAAGGTTTAAGCCTTAAATTTTTATGTTTGTTTTTATTCACCTCATTTGTCCCTGTTTCAGCTTTTTTCTCTTCATTTGAGTGTATCAAGTATTTTTTTGTTTTTACATATTATGTTTTCTCCTGTGTTGCCTTTTTTACATGTTTCAACTTGTATTTTAAGTTCAGGGGGTACATGTACAGGTTTGTTACTTGGGTAAATGGTGTGTCACTGGGGTTTGGTGTACAAATGATTATGTCACTCAGATAGTGAGCATAGTACCTAATAGGTAGTTTTTCAACTCTCAAACCCTCCCTCCTTCCCTCCTCAAGTAGTTCCCTTTCTTTATTGTTCCCATCTTTGTGTCCATGTGTACTAGATGTTTAGCCCCACTTATAAGTGAGAACATGAGGTATTTGGTTTTCTGTTCCTGAATTAATTTGCTTAGAATAATGGCCTCTAGCTCCATCCATGTTGCTGCAAAGGACATATTTTTTCTTTTTGATGGCTGTGCAGTATTCCATGGTGTATATGTACCACATTTTCTTTATCCAGTCCATCGTTCATGGGCACCTGGATTGATCCCATGCTTTTGCTATTATTAATACCACTGTAATGAACATACAGGTGCATTTGTCTTTTTGGTAGAACCATTTGTATGCTTTTGGGCATATATCCAGTAATGGGATTGCTGGGTCAAATGCTAGTTCTGTTTTAAGTTCTTGGAGAAGTCTCCAAACGGTTTCCTACAGTGGCTGAACTGATTTACATTCCGACCAGCAGTGGGAATAAGCATTTCCTTTTCTCTGCAATCTTGCCAACGTGTTATTTTATTAGTAACAGACATTCTGACTGGTGTGAAGTGGTATATCATTGTGGCTTTGATTTGCATTTCTCTAATTATCAGTGATGTTGAGCATTTTTTCATATGCTTTTTGGCCATGTGTATGTCTTCTTTTGAGAAGTGTCTGTTCATGTCCTTTGCTTGTTTTTTAATAGGGTTGTTTGTTTTTTGCTTGATGGTTTAAGTTCCTTACAGATTCTGGATATTAGACATTTGTCATATTAATAGTTTGCAAATATTTTCTCCCATTCTGTAGTTTGTCTGTTTACTCTGTTGGTATTAGGTTGGTGCAAAAGTAATTGTGTTTTTTTCCATTACTTTCAATAGTTTTAAAAATAGTTTTAATAGTTTCTTTTGCTGTGCAGAAGCTCTTTAATTTAATTAGGTCTCATTTGTCAGTTTTTGCTTTTGTTGCATTTACTTTTGGAGCCTTGTCATGAAATCTTTGCCAGGGCCTAGGTCCAGAATGGTATTTCCTAGGCTTTCTTCTAGGGTTTTTATAGATTTATGTCTATAATTAAGGATTAAGTCTTTAATCCATTTTGAGTTGGTTTTTGTATTGGTAAAAGGAAGGGGTCCAGTTTCACTCTTCTGCATATGACTAGACAGTTATCTCAACACCATTTATTGAATACAAAGCCCATTCCCAATTACTTGTTAGTGTTGACTTTGTCAAAGATGACATGGTTAAAGGTGTGTGGATTCATTTTTAGATTTTTCTAATTTGTTCCATTGACCTATGTGTCCATGTTTTTTTTTTTTTAACCAGTACCATGCTCTTTTGGTTACTGTAGCTTTTAGTATAGTTTGAAGTCAGTTATTGTGATGCCTCGGCTTTCTTCTTTTTGCCTAGGATTGCTTTGGCTATTCAGGCTCTGTTATTTTTAGTGGTTTCTCTAAAGATACAATAAGATTTAAGATAGTCTAACTTCAAATAATATTATTTGATATTATAATAATATATTATAATAATAATATTATTATACTTTAAGATAGTCTAACTTCAAATAATATTATTTTATATTACTTCACAAATACTGTAAAAAGCCTTGCAACAAATTCTTTTTGCCATCTGCTGTTCATTTTTTTCTTATTTTTTATATTTTATTTCAATATATCTTATAAACTAGATAGTACCTTATCATGTTATTTTTAGCAATATTTTTAAAATAAATTTTTAAATAAATTTAAAGCTATACACACACAAAATGATAATTTAAAAATATGTTTTATATTTTTCTAAGTAGGTTTACCTTTTCTGGGATTCTTGATGACTGACTGTACATTGAGGATTTTATTTGATATTACTTTGTTTCAGCTTTAAGACCATTTTGCACCTCTTGTTTTATAATTGTGCTGGAAACAGAGTTGCTGACTGCTGTTTCTCTAAAAACATATTTAACTTCATTTGTAAAAGACATTTTCATTAGATAGACAAATCTAGGTTTACTATTTTTCTCTCATCACATTAAAGATTAACAATGTCCCATTGTCTTCTTGTTTGCACTCT